CTCTGTCCCACCTGGGACGTGAGTCATCCCTTAATCCGGCTCTGTACACACTCCATGCCACTGATCAGTCACCGTCTTAGTTATCAGATCAGCTGGTCATAGGATCGCAGTGCTTGTGTTCAAGCAACCCTGATTTTACTTAATAATGACCCCAGGCACAAGAGTCGTGATGCTGGCGATTTAGAAATGCCCCAGAGAAGATGTAAAGGGTACTTATGCATAGAAAAAGCAGCATATATGGGGCTCGGTGCCATCTGTGGTTTCAGGCATCCACCGGGGTCTTGAAATGTATCCTCCCGTGGATGGGGGGACTGCTATATTGTGAAATGATCACCACAGTAAGTCTAGTTGACATCTTTCACCACAAATAATTACCAAAAATGTCTTTTGTGATAGGATATTTAAGATTTAACTCTCTTGGCAACTTTCAAATGAGCAATCCAGTATTATTAATTACTAGATGCCCAATGCACAAAAATTTGTGCACTCGGTGGGGGGGGAGGGGCAGAGGGTGGTCCCTCAGCCTGGCCTGTGCCCTCTCACAGTCTGGGACCCCTTGGGGGATGCTCACCTGCTGGCTTAGGCCTGTTCCCTGAGGGATCGGGTCTAAACTAGCAATCAGACATCCCTCTGTCAGCCTGGCAGCCCTCGGGGGATGTCCACTTCCTAGTGGGGAGCAGGCCTAAGCTGCAGTTGGACATCCTTAGTGCTGCTAAGGAGGCGGGAGAGGCTCCCACCACCACCACTGTCTGGCAGCCATCAGACTGGCTTGTGGCTGAGCAGAACTCCCCTGTGGGAGCGCACTGACTACCAGGGGGCAACTCCTGCATTGAACGTCTGCCCCCTGGTGGTCAGTATGTGTCATAGTGACCAGTCATTCCCAGTCATTCTGCTGTTAGGGCCAATTTGCATATTACCCTTTTATTATATAGGATAGAGGCCTGGTGCACAGGTGGGGGCCGGCTGGTTTTCCCTGAATGGTGTCCCAGATCAGGGTGGGGGTCTCGCTGGGTTGCCTAGCCAGCCTGGGTGAGGGACTGAGGGCTGTTTTCAGACTGGCCAAGCCCCCCAGTGGGGACCCTCACCCCATGGGGATGTGGCCAGCCTGGGTGAGGGGCTGAAGGCTATTTTCAGGCTGCCCTTCATGGTGGGGGGGGCGGTCCCCTGGGGTGCCTGGCCAGCCTGGGTGAGGGGCTGATAGCTGTTTTCAGGCTGGCCACGCCCCCTGGCAACCCAAGCTCCCAGCCTCTCCTTCTTTTCTTTTCTTTTTTTCTTTTTTGGCGGGCTGGAAGCAGGTATCTGGGAATTATTTATCTTCTATAATTGAAACTTTGTAGTCTTGAGCGGAGCCCAGGGCTGGCCAGGGAAGGCAGGAAGCTTGGCTTCCTCCATTGCCAGGAGCAACCCAAGCCTCCTGCTCACTCCAGCTCCATGGCCGTTGCCATCTTAGTTGGGTTAATTTGCATACCAGCTCCTGATTAGCTGGTGGGCATGGCTTGTGGGTATAGCGGAGTGGCAGAGTGATGGTTAATTTGCATCTTTCTCTTTTATTAGTGTAGATAGTTGCCATTCTGTAGATTGCATAGCCATGACCAATTTATTTGTTAACTGGAAATTTGAACCTTTTGAACCCCTTCACTCATTCAACCTATCTCCCCACCCCTGCCTCTGGCAACTACCAGTCTCTTCTCTTGCTGCATAATACAGGGTGTCCCCCCAAAATATATACACACTTTAATAGCCAATACCTATTAAATGAAAGTGAAATTACTTTATAATTATTCAACGTGTGTGCATACATTTCTGTGGGACACCTACAATTTGACATGAGATCTGGCAATGGAACAGTCAGGAATCTCAGACACTTGACCCATAAATTTAGGGAAAGAAATGATGTGGGGGAGGTGCAAATTGTCACTCCTCACTGTTGGGCCAAGTATGTGCGTGTGAGAAGTCCTGCCACCACCCCACCTGTTCCCACCAGACACACCTTGTTCTCCAGCCTTTCCCACCTTAATCTACGTATCAACATACTCCCTTCTGACAGCTGGGAATTCTCATTATAAATATGCTCTAAAGTTGCTGGTTTCTAAACATTAGTTGACTGACAGGTGCTGGAGTGGTCACGTGAGAATCGCGCGAGGCCCAGAGCCAGAGACTATGATTTCATGGTTCCGGGGGGTCCTGGAAATCAGTATTTAGGAAACACGATCACTATTCTCAGTGGTTTCTTCTCCAGCACATTTGGGAATGCTGCTCAGATGTAGATGGGAAGGGCAGTCTAGCCCCAGAAAGGCTCTCTCACTTGTTTAAACAAAACAATGACTACAACTTCCAGCCTATAGGGACCCCAGGCTGTCCGCCACATGTACTGGGTTACACAGATTTTATCTGGGGACAGCGATGAAGAGAACAGAACTTCTGGTCCCTGCCCTCGAGAACTCAGAGCCAATTCTGGTGAGACAAGACTGTCACAATGAAAACACTCAAGAGTGTTTGTAGAACAGATACAACTAAGTGTATGATGTTCTGCAAACAGAGGGAGAATGACTGGCTCAATTTGGAAGGAGAAAGGAGCATTAAAGGAGTTCATATTGACATTCAAACTGGTGGCCCACCTGCTCTGTCACTGCCTATGGAACAGTTCTCTGGAGAGACCTGTCAGGCTGAGGGTGTGGTAGTGAGGCTGCATGGGGGTGACTCGTATGTCACTCTCTTAAGTAGCAAAACCACTTCACTGTATATGTGCTAATAAGTTGGGAATGTCTTAAGTGGAGGAAATCTGGATGGTGACCAGGAAGGCAGAGAGCCAGCATGGAGCTTGGGGACACAAGATTTCTCTGTTGTTACACGTGCTGCTGACTAAGGCTGCCTCCCTTTTGCTACAGGGCATTTCCTTCTCTGAAACTGACCGTCTCATGGGTGTCCAGGCCTCCTCCAGCAGCCAAAGGGATTTTCCCAAGCTATAATGCAGGACCTCGGTGTTTGCTTACAGTGAAGGGAAGGTTGTTGACTATAAGGAACCACACCCATAGCCCATCTGCCTAGACTGTCCCTGTGAGTGAAACAGGTTTTCCCAAACTTGCCTGCTTATCAGAATTCCCAGAAGTGGAATTACTGGGTCATAGGTAGTACAAATTTTTAATATTTTGAGGTAACTCCATACTGCTTTCCACAGTGACTGCGCCAGTCTGCATTCCCACCAACAGTGCGTGACGGTTCCCTTTTCTCCACATCCTCCCCAACACTTGTTTGTTGATTTATTGATGATAGCCATTCTGATAGGTGTGAGGTGATATCTCATTATAGTTTAATTTGCATTTCTCTAGTGATTAGTGAGTTGAGCATTTTTTCATATGTCTATTGGCCATCTGTATGTTCTCTTTGGAGAGTGTCTATTCAAGCCTTTTGCCCATTTTTTTTTATTGGATTGTTGTTGTTTTTTGGTGTTGAGTTTTATAAGTTCTTTGTATATTTTGGATATTAACCCCTTATCGGATGTATCATTGGTGAATATGTTCTCCAGTTCAGTGGGTTGTCTTTTCATTATGTTGATGTTTCCTTTACTGGGCAAAAACTCTTTAATTTGATGTAGTCCCATTTGTTTATTTTTTTCATTTCCCTTGCTCAAGGACATATATCAGAAAAATATTGCTATGAGAAATGTCTGAGATTTTACTATATTTTATGATTTTAGTCTAACATTTATGGTTTTGAGTCTAACATTTAAGTCTTTAATCCATTTTGAGTTTATTCTTGTGTGGTGTAAGAAGGTAGTCTAGTTTCATTTACTTTGCACATTATCTGTCCAATTTTCACAATACCATTTGTTGAATAGACTATCTAATTTGAAAGAATATATGCACCCCAATGTTTATTGCAGTGTTACTTACAATAGCCAAGATTTGAAAGCAGCCCAAGTGTCCATCAGTAGATGAGCGGATAAAAAAGCTGTGGCACATTTACACAATGGAATACTACTCAGCCATGTGACAACATGGATGGAACCTGGAGAACATTAAGCTAAGTGAAATAAGCCAGTCAGAGAAAGACAAGTACCACATGTTTTCACTCATATGTGGAATTTACCGAACAAACTGAACTAACAAGCGAATGGAGACAGCCTCGTAGAGAGCAGGCAGACAGCTCTGCTGTGAGAGGGGGGTATTGTCGGAGTGGAGGGATGAGCAAAAAAGAAAGAAAAAGAGCTCATGGACACAGACAACCGTGTGATGATTGTTGGGGGTGGGGGAGAGGAGTGGGTGAAGGTGAAAGAGGGTATAATGGGGATAAGTGGTGATGAAAAAATAAAATAAAGAAAAAATAAAATAAATACAGATGTCTCAGCCTCAAATTACAGCTATCAAATCTGGATCTTCAGAAGAGAGGCTTTAAAAAAAAACAAAAAACACACAATTCTTTGGGCAGGGTACACTTGGGAAACTAAGTGACACATCCTCTCTTACCCGTGGGTGACCTAACTCTTGCCTCTGCTGGACAGCTGCTGCCTAGGCGAGGCTGAGGGGAGCATTCCTGGGGAGTGGAAAGTGTTTATTCTATTTAAAACCCACAGTGGTAACAATATAACTACCCTTTTCAATTGTGCACCAGACACTATACTGGAAGCTTTTTATTTTTTAATATCTCATGTAATCCTCCCAATAACTTACTGAAGTGTGGGTTATTGTCCCTGTTTCCTCAGCGGGAGACAGAGGACAGGAAGTTAAGTGACTTGTCCAAAGGCACACACAGCTAGCAGCGGTAGAGCTAGGTCAGTACTCCATCTTTTCTCTATTACACGTCATCGATCCTGGGACCTTGAATCAACTAGCTGCACATTCCAGTTGGGAGCTTACCAGCCCAATTCCGAACACCACCCCACGTAAAGGGGAAACGAGGAGGGGGCTGAAATTTACCTTAAACTCCAGTGGGTGTGTGAACAAGGAATGAAGTCTGGGAAAGCATAGGAGAAGGATGTTGATTCCTCATTTGGTCCTCAGGTACTGGAACTCCTTAAGCAACCTGGTGGCATCCTTGCTGAACTCCGTGCGCTCCATCGCCTCCCTGCTACTACTGCTCTTCCTCTTCATCATCATCTTCTCCCTCCTGGGGATGCAGCTCTTTGGAGGAAAGTTCAACTTTGATGAGATGCAGACTCGGAGGAGCACGTTTGATAACTTTCCCCAGTCCCTCCTCACCGTGTTTCAGGTATGGACTCTCCTCTGCTGGGCTTATGACCTGGGGGGTGGAGGTGGTTAAGTGGTGGGGGGAGTGGGGAGCAGGAAGAAGGAGCCTGGCAAGGTGGGGGGAAGCTTCACCCTTGCGTGGGCAGCCAAAGCCAGCTAGATCAGCCACAGAGGGTCCATGCCAGGGGAACCTTGAGCTCCTTCTATAGTTTCCCCCACCTGCAGGCCCCCATGGAATTTCCCTATTGGGTGGACCATTGAAAAAAGATCTAATTGAGAGGTTTAAAAACTCTTCCTAGACTTGGGAACCTTTATTCAAATAAATTCTACATGGAAGCCCAAAATATAAACAAATAAAAGCAGACTACTCTGTCGTGGGATGGGAGGATGGAGCTCTGTCTGTCTATCCACCATGCTTGCCCCTAGAAATACATAGCTAGCCTATCAAATTTGTGCTTCCATAGATATTTTGGTTAAGGGCAAAGCTAAAGTAGCACTTGTTTAAGTTTAAAAGTAGATTTATTTACAGGTAAAAATGAATAACAATGTGGATGTTGTCAAAATCTTAAAGCTGGGACCCAGATGACTAATGTTTGGAGAGAACTGGATTGTGTGATATTCTCCCGATGGACACATTCACATTTGTAAAGGGGCCCCTGATGCCTTAACCCAAGGAATGGCTAGCGGTGGCCATCCCATGCACCATATGTGGGCAGTGGGAGGTGCCTTGGCCAGGAAGCCCTTTGGGTCACTTCTCAAATAGTAGTGTGCTGGTGGCCATGCACTTTGAGGACAGGGTCAGCTTGCCAGGTCCAGCTCAGTGGCCCAGGGAGGAGAGCTGGGGCAGGAGAGCCAGAGGTGGAAGGAGATTTCAGGCGTTCTTGTCAGCAGAGCGGGGCAGGGCAGGGGAGTTTTGGGTTTGCTGTTGGTCTAACACTGTGTCCCTTATTGGTGGGAATGTGTCATTCAGATCCTGACCGGGGAGGACTGGAATTCGGTGATGTATGATGGGATCATGGCTTATGGCGGCCCCTCTTTTCCAGGGATGTTAGTCTGTATTTACTTCATCATCCTCTTCATCTGTGGAAACTGTATCCTTTGTTCCTGCCTCCCCACCCCTGCCACCCACCCTCCCTCAGCCTACAGCCCGGTGCCAAATAGGTGTGCCCGCAGGCCATCACTCAGGGTTGAAAACTGTAGCTGCCCACCCACAGGGCCCCCAGGCAAGTGGGGAAAGGCATGTTCTGGGGGAGAAAGCAATTCCCAGCCCAGACCGCCTTAGCTGGAGGAGGGGCTTGGTGGAAGGAGCCAGGAACTGTGGCACAGGCAGGATGTAAGTTCATCTTCCTGTGCTGTTTTGCCTCAGCGCTGCCCGACTCCAGGAGGCGTGTCCTCCTCCTAGTTCAGGTGACCAACACGCCTGTGTTATCGTGTGCAGCCCCATGTGAGCTCACACAGACTCCCATGTGAGCCACCTAGATGTGAGCGCCTTAGCTGCCCTGGCTGCCCTGGCCTCATGGGGATGGGAGGCTTTGTTGACTGAACCTCATCCTTCACATGACCGTCATCTCTTCCCCTGCCTTCTGGTCAGTGCTCCTCCCTCTGAAGCCACTCTGCCAGCTTTTGGTCATAGGGAAAGCTGGACATGCCTCACTAGGCAGGTCCACGGGCAGTATTTTAGGGTCTCACGTGTGGGCACTCCTCTCTGCCCATGGTGGTCACCTGTGAGGTTGTGTGCAGAGGCAGGAGGCCAAGTAGACCAAGGTCTAAATCACAGATGAATGAAATGCAGAAAGCATGGCCCTGGCCCCAGCCCCAAAGATAGGCCGGGCAACTGCTGCTGCTGATGTACTGGGGTGATAAAGTGATAGCAGCTGCTCCTCAGTGGGTCCTTGTGAGGGTCAGCGGGTAAGGCCCAAGGGCAGGTACCCAGCAGCCTCTTGGACAAACCTCCCCGCCCCCGGTTGTGGTTTCCCTGTGTGTGAAATGGTATGACTGTCGTGTCTGGGGAAGGAGGTCAGACTTAACAGATGTTAAGTCCCTGCTCAGCTATCCTTTCTTTGCTTCTACAGTTCTCTGACCCAGTGTTTCCATTCAAAGTTGGGGGTAGAGGGAGAAGACAAGGGCAAACAGCCACTTCAGTCGGGACTTGCCAAGCTCCACCGGACCCCTGAGGGCCTCTGTAGGGGCGGCTCACATTAAGAGTTGGCAGGAATATCAGGCCACCTCCTCAGTGCCCAGCTATAATGAACAGCCCTTAAGAGTCCTCTGCGTTGTTAGAGACAATGCTCTTCATAATGTCAATTACAGCCAGCCGTCTCTGTGGGGGAACCAATAATGAAGCCCAGCAATTAAAGAGCGAGGCAGAGCACTGCCTTCCTCCCTCCCTGTTCTAGCCTGAAAGCCAGCCTACTCTCCAACCCTTAGAAAACTCCAGGTAGCTAGAAGTGTGATGTGGAGGCAAAGAGATGGAGGAGGGACACCCCTGAGCTTAGCACTCCTGAGTCACGGTTGAGCTCCCTCTGTGGGAAACTCTATCCCTGCATGTCCTGCACCCCCTGACCCCCTATGCCCACCAAAAACCCCAAGGCCAAGGGTCATTTTCTTTAAGAATGGACACAAACAGATATCCTACTGAATGTGTTCTTGGCCATTGCTGTGGACAACCTGGCTGATGCTGAGAGTCTCACATCTGCCCAGAAGGAGGAAGAAGAAGAGAAGGAGAGAAAGAAGCTGGCCAGGTAACCCTCTAAGCTGCCCCAGGCCCAGGGCCCCAGGGCCCAGTTCTGGAATGCCATTCCCATTGGTGGTAAAGAGAGGTGTGAGCACGGCCTCTGCTGGCCTGTGTCCCTCCAGAAGGGCACTGGGTTTGGGACTTCCTAGGATAGGTTGGGCCTCTCCTCTAGTTCCTAGGCATTGCTCCAAAGTGGGGACCAGCATGACTTACAGCCTCTGTGAAGGTGTTGCATTCCCCCACCTGTGTAGGAAGTTTTGGTTTTCTCCTTTGAGAAAAGAGGTCATCGTAGGTGAGGGGAGCAAAGGATGGGAAGGTGGGAGCAACCACTCAGTAAAGAATTGCAACTCCAGGTGAGAGAGAGATTCCTTCTCACTGTTTTGAAGGCAAAATTGGGCCCTTCACTGTCTTGTCATTATCTAGATGGGACTGTCCTAGGCCACAGATCTGCTGGGTACTGAGCCAAGTTCTCAGGAGCCAATCCTGAATGAGATCCCAGAACCTTTCTCTGACTTAGACGGGGCCTGGGAAAGGCCAACTGAGTACAGACAGCAAGGTGTGGCCAGCTGCCTGGATCCTGGGCCTAGCCCAGTAGCATTTGTGATGGAGTTGCACCTGCCTGTGCCCCGGGGAAGGAAGATGGACACAGGCACTGGCCCCCAGCAGCCCTCAGGGCAGTTTCCTACCCCTGTTCCCTGTCACTCCAGTAAACATCCCTTTATGGTTTTCTCCTGCTGACCGGCCAGGACCGCCAGCCCAGAGAAGAAACAGGAGGTGGTGGAGAAGCCAGCAGTGGAGGAGACCAAGGAGGAGAAAATTGAGCTGAAATCCATTACAGCTGATGGAGAGTCCCCGCCCACCACCAAGGTGAGCACCGTCTCCTTCCAGGACCTGAGAGGGCAGGGACCATCTTCCCAGGCCAGACACCCACGGAAAAGAGCAAGGAGGGAAAGAGACCGGTGGATAAGGGCAGTGAGGGCGGAGCAGGAGAGCAGGAATGTGAAGAGCAGGCAGAGTGATTGAATCCCAGCCTCTGTTAATATCTCAAGGGTCTGTGCAAAGTCATGAGGATATATTTTTGAGTCAGCAGCTCAGCCACTGACTATAATGCAGCTTCTAAAAGTTGGGCCATATCTGACTGGATTCTTCCTTCTCTCTCCCTCGGCTGCCTAGATCAACATGGATGACCTCCAGCCCAATGAAAATGAGGACAAGGGTGTCTACCCCAACCCGGAAGCGACAGGTACGGTTCCCCTGCCTGCCACTGGGGGGACCTGGGGGTGGGGGGAAGGGAATGGAGGAGACCTAAAGCCATGTGAAAGTAACCATGTGTTAGGGGCCAGTGGTTCCGGTTTTCCTCTACAAGGACCTTGCGTTGCTCAGTATCTCTCTCTGCACTGAAGCGTTACCAATGATCATCTGGGGGAAACGCTGCTGCTGGTTTGCTCATAATAATAGTGGAAGACTGAGTAAATTAGGTCTGAGCAGTGCTGTCGTGTCCTTTGGAAGATGGATTATGTATACATTTAAGGTCTTATTATATCTTAAGTTGTAAAATCATTATTAACATTATATAATTCATTAGTCTAACATATGTCACACCATCATGCACACAAAATAATAATAGTAAATTCCAAATCTGTCTTGTCCTTACTCAGGAGGCAGTGCTGAGTACAAGGACAGCTGCCACCACAGATGTCCCACTTGCCGCTTTGTAAACCGCTTTCAGGTCTCTTATTATAAAAAGAGCTAGTACCACTCGGTCTTCTCATCTTCTGTCTGATCTGTACATGGCAGGCAGGCTCCCCTGGAAGGCTTGGGTTGTCAGAGTTCCTTCCGCCTCCCTCCAGGATTCAATTCTCTGCCTCCTGCAACCCCACGTCCTGTACCAGCCCTGGGTTTGCCTCTCTTTTACCTACAATTGAAGATATTCCCACCAGCTTCAAGTTTGCACTCAAGTACATGCAATAAGGGACTGTTGATTTTACTGACATTTCCTGCTCTGTGTAGGCTAGGCTATATTTGGGTTGGTAGCCACCTTAGGTGGCTGACAACCTTCTGCACTTATAAGCAAAGCTAGGTTTTCCTTTTGCTTTCCCTCCCCTGGTTCTCTGCTGTATTCTCTGTAAGGGCACCAGCAGCCACCTTGTCCCTGGGAGCGGGCTCCCTGCGGTCATTCCCTTCTCTCACCTCCCTCTGCAAGGGAAATAGGGCAGGGCGGGCTCCCAGCCTTGGCGGAGGGCCAGAAGGGTGTGTCCAGGTGCAGGCACTAAGCTTTTTGAAGTTTTAAAGCCCTTCTAGCTGGAAACCATCACAGAATTTCAAAGACAGAGAAATATTGGCCAAACGCAATGGAAGGATTTTGTCTTGATCCTGCATGAATAAATAAACTTTGAAATGACATTGTTTTTAGCTAATTAGGGGAAATTGAATATGGACTGGGAACTAAACGATTTTAGTTTTTGTTAGTCTTGTTAATATAATGATATCATTTTAATTCTATTTTTAAATGCTGAAGTGTTTATAGCTGGAGTCTAAAATATTTAGAGGTTGCTTTAAAATAATACAATTTTTTAAAAACGGGAACAGAAGTAAATGAAACAAGATGGGCAAACTATCAATAGTTGTTGGAGTTGGGTATGGAGGTCCACCATGCGAGGCTCTCTACTCATAGGATTATTATAAGGATGATTATTGTTATTAATGTTTAAAAGGAAAGACAGTAATAAAACAAATACCTCTGGGTCCTAAGCTATCTGTCCCACCTGCCTGAGCCTTCAGGAGGCCCTGCCCACAGCCATTCTCCCTCAGGGCTGGGGCAGACACAAACCTAGGACAATAGCTGCAAATTCATCATTCTAAATAGACTCATGGCTGTTCTCTTCTCTGTTGCTCTAAATAAAAAAGAAGTGAAATAAAAAAGAAGCAGGTCAAGGGGAAAAGGACTAATAAGGATACTATTGTCCTGGTATCAGTCATCAAAGAAGTGTCTCTGTTGACCGGCTTTAAGGATTCTTGGAACGGTTTTGCTTTTAAACTGAAAAGCTATTCCCACACTGCTGACTCCTCCGGAGTCTTTAGATGTTTTTAGGATCTATTCTTTTCCCTGATCATGTGGCCACCTTCCTCTACCCTCTTTTCTACCCAGGCCTTTGTTTCTTTGGGTCCCACACTTCTCCCACCTCTGGTCCATAACCGAGGCTGAGGCTATCCTGCCTCTGCGGCTCCCCACCACCACCGCTCAGGCCTTGAAAGCAGCCCTAAGCCCCTCCCTCTCCTCCAAGGCTAACTCAGCATCTGTTTCCAGCTCCTGCTCCCCCTTCCTGCCTGGGCAAGCAGCTCCTGGCTCCCTTAGTACCAGGTGTGGCAGAAACCCCCAATGTCTCCCCCAAGGTCACTTGACCTGTTGTCTCTGCTCTTGTCAGTACCTTGTTCCTGCCTGCTTCTCCTCTGATCTGCGGTTGTCCTCGCAACCACTGCCTCTTCTGCTTTCACAGCTTTGGGGCAGCTGGCCCTGCTGTGCCCCTTGGGAGGCAGCTCTGGTGAGCGTCCTTGTGCCCCACTTCCCACCAGCCTTCCAGAGGGGAAGGTCAGAGCTGGAAAGTAATCCTACACTCTCCTCCCTCCTTGCCCCTCCTGCTCCCTTTGCCATCACCCCTCTCTGTAGGCTGCTCTGTTTACTTGTCCAAGTTGCACCAAAGGTGTGTTTGGAGACACTGAGTAAGGCTGAACTGCAGCTTGCAGTCTGCTGGCCACAGCCCCTGCCCTCTCAGGGACACCCAAAGGAGGGCCTGTTTCTAATCCTCAGAGCAGCCTCAAAGGCCAGAGGTGGCCAGTCAGCCCTTCCCTCTCAGTTTAATCTCTAAAGCTCACCAGGTGGTTTTAGCCTCCCAGCTGTTATGCCCAGATTTCAAGATCTCCAAGAGCCCACCAGGGAGCCAGCGAGTCTGATGCAAAAGCAGAGAGTCTTTTATTCGAACTAGTTCAGCTCCCCAACCACACTCACCAATGCAACGGTAAGCCACATGGCAGAGAGAGGGCTAGCCCGATGGGAAGAGGAGTTTTATAGGGGGGTGGAGAGGTGACTGTGGGTCCTGCCGATTGGCCAGGCGCAAGTCGGTGTCTTGTCACTGGTTAGTTTAAAGAAATCCTGGGCGTGGCTAGCAGAGGCTTGGGCTTCCGGGAAGAAGGTACTTTCCTGAGCACATGGCTGCTGCCCCAACATGGAGGATACGGGGCAAGATGAAGGGCATAGCCCTCGCCCTTTCACCAGCTTCGTATGCACTCAACGTTAGAAATATCTACTTGCCCAGGAAGGAAAGCATTGTGCCAAGATTGTGCTATTATGTAATTGATTAATTTACTTGCATGAACATACGCATGTTCTTAAAAGTCACTAAGGACTTAAAATTAATGAGGACAATGAAGAAGAAATGTGAAGGGTTTCAGGGGATGTATAGTTCAGGGCCAGATGTGGGGGTCACTCAAATTGCTGCAAGGGGTTTGAGGAGAGCAGTGAGGTAGGGGATGCCAGGGAAGCTTCATGGGCAAGGGTGGCCTTGAATGGGCTTTGAGTTCAGAGAACTGGAGAAGGAAGAAGTTATTTCAGGACCACTATTCTCAAGACACAAAGCAGGAAGAAACCTTGGAGACATTCATTCACTAATAACTACTTAGCAAGCACCTACTGTGTGCCAGGCACTGTGGCAGGCACCGGATACTCCTGCTTTCCTGGAGCTCACATTTCAGTGGGGAGACCAACAATGTGCAAAAAAACAAGCCAGCCAGAAAGGTAACATCAGATCCAGAGCCGAGGGCTGTGCTTCAGTTAATGGGGCTGCTGCTTTGCTGTTAGGCCCATGAAGACCTTTTCGAGGAGGCAGCATGTGAGCTGAAGCTGAAGAAATCATGGGGAAGCCTGAACCACACATGTGGAAATCAGAGGGAAGAGCTGTCCAGGTGGAGGGTCTAGCAAGTGCAGAATCTCTGAAGTGGAATGCGCTTTTCTGAGGAGGAGCTGGAAGGAGCCTGTAGCAGAGAGAACAAAGGGGCCAGGCCAGGTCAGAGCCGGTGCCCGGGTGGACTGTTGCAGGTGAAAGAGCACTCGAAGTTCCTCGTGAGGAGCTTAGGAAAGCACAACGCTAGTAAATAACGTTCGTTTTTTTTTCTATAAACACAAATGATTAAGATAATCATTAAATTACCTGTTACCAAATTATCATGAATAAGAAAGTGTGGGATTTATCTGGAGCAAAAGTGAAAGAAAAACAAACAGCTAGGCAGAAACTTAAGATCCTTACTTTAATTTCATTTATAAATATCATGATTTTAAAAACCAGTTTAAAAACCAGTACAGTTCTGGGAAAACCAGCATGAGTCAGTCACCCCTCTTATTAGGTGCTGCCAGCAAAGTCTTTCTCTAACATAGACGAATTCCAGTGGTGCCCACGGGGAGAAAGCTGAGTGTCTGTCTTGGTTGGTACCTTATGTTTTCAGAAATACAAATGATGTCTTGATTCTTGTCCGTAGGAAGGCATCTGAAGTAGGCAGCGCAGTGGTGAAAGTAAATGGAGTTATTTAGAAGGTGCTTTTTTTCTTTCAGGAGAGGAGGATGAGGAGGAGCCTGAGATGCCCGTGGGCCCACGCCCACGCCCACTCTCGGAGCTGCACCTCAAGGAAAAGGCAGTGCCCATGCCTGAAGCCAGTGCATTTTTCATCTTCAGCCCCAGCAACAGGTGTGTGAGGATAGTGGGGAAGGTGGGCTCTGCTCTCTCCAGGCTCCAGGACCACCAGCTCACACAACTTGTGTGAAGAGAGGGACTGGTTTTGTTAAATATATTTATTCAGCATGTTAAATATATTATTCCACTGTACAGTCAGTTGGCATTCCTACACTCATTGTAGGTAATCTGCCCCTTATCTCTTTTTAGGGAAAAGAGTTCTGGATTCCAAATCAGAAGGCCTGTGTATTTTTCTCTTCATTTTTTGAAATACGTAAACCCTATTTCTAGTCTTTTGGTGATTTTTCTTGGTAATTAGTAAGTCTATTTAACTTAAACTCTAAAGCTAACAAGGTATTTAACTTTGTGCAAGATATCCTTAACTTCTTGCAAAATAAAAGGAAGTTCAATTATTTTAACTCCTCTCAACCCCTCCTGCCTTACTTGTTATTGTTGATTAGTATTTAATCCTGAAGTTAGACATTATTGTCAATATCAGTATTATTATATAGGCAGTATATATTTGGATTTACATACAACTTACCAGTCCATCCTTCTGCAATCATGTTTTTTTCTTCCTAAAGTACATTCTTTGCTTCTCTTTTTTTAAATTGCACTTATTTTTTTTTTTACTTTTTAATTACAGTTGACATATAATATTATATTAGTTTCAGGTGTCCTAAAGTACATTCTTTATAAGTTCCTGTAGTTCCTGTATGATAAACTCATTTGGCCTTTGTTTATCTATATAATTGTTTTCATTTTTCATACTGAAATTTGACTCTTTTATTTTATTCTTTAAGTTTTCAGTTTTCATCCATGTATTTAGACATGTACACATGTTAGTTTTCATCAATCAGGTTTTTTTAACTTATCTTTATTGTTGAAAGTGTTACAGATGTCCCCATTCTTTCCCCACTGACCCCCTCCACCTTGTACCCGCTCCCCGAAGGCCTTCACCTCAGTATTGTCTGTGTTTATGAGTTATGCATATAAGTTCTTTGGTTAATCCCTTCGTGCCCCCTCTCCTCCCTTCCTTCTGAGATTAGTCAGTCTGTTCCATGCTTCTATGTCTCTGGATCTATATTGTTCATCAGTTTATTTTGTTCATTTGACTCCACATTTGAGTGAGATCATGTAATAATTGTCTTTACCATTTTTTGCCCTTAAAAATAGTTTTGCTGTGTACACAATTTTAAATTGACAGGTTTTGTCCCTCAGCATGTTAGATGAATTATTCCACTGTATAATTAGCTGTTATGCCTAATTCCTACTATCATTTCTTTGTAGGTAATCTCCCCTTATTTCTAGCTGCTTTTACCATCTATTTGTTGCCTTTGATGTGCAGATTTACTACCATGTGTCTAGACATGGACTTTTTTCTACTTACCTAGCTTGGAATATGTTATGCTTCCTAAGTATATAGATTTATATTTTTCTTCAGTTCTTGAATGATATTGAAGATTAAAATAATAATTCCTAATTCTTGAAAAATTGCAGCCATCACTCTAAATATTGCCCATCCTCATTCTCTCTATTCTCTCCTTCTGGTACTCTAATTAGATGTATGTTAGACCACATCTACCTACTCGATCTCTTAATGAGTCTTGCATACCTTTCAACTCCTTATCTCTATTTTGGTATGCTGGTAATTTTTTCAGCTATATCTTCCAGTTTCTTAATTCTCTCTTCAACTTTGACTATGCTAAGTTAGTTTTTATATTGACTGTTATATTCTTTTTTTTTATTTCAAGCAGTTCCATTTGTTGTTTGATTTTACAGATTCATCTGTCTATATCTAAGACTTACCTATTAATTCATCATCTTTGTGATCAAGTCCTTTATTTCATTAAATATTTCAGATATAGTTGTCCTATATTTTGTTTCTGATATTTTTAATATTCAAAGTCTTTGGCAGGGGGGAGTCTAAATCTTATATTTATTGTTTTTTTTCTTTCTGATTTTCCACCTTAGTGGCTTATCTTGTATGTTTAATGATCTTTGATTGTTATTGGTGGCCTTAATTACTACTGGGGAAGCTTTTTTCCAGATATTTCTGGCTTGAAATGAAGCTTCCTGATAGCAGTGCTGCTACTGGCATCTATCCTCAGGCAGCTCTGCCCCCCTGCCTACCTATCACACAGACCCCAGATTGGAGGATTTGTTTATTTGTTTGAAGGGGATGGTCATTGAAGACTCCTCTGAACTCTCATGAAACCAGAATTGTCTCAAAGAGCTTGTCCTTTCCAGCGTTTGGTGCTTCTGCAGCAGTAAGGTCTTTCAGAGCATTTAGGCGACCACATGCCAGGAGCTGAGGACTGAGGCCTGGTTTCAAGCCTTCACTCTACAGGTTACATTTCTGGGCAAGCTTGTCCTTCTTGGGTTTCATTGTTTTTATTTACCAAATGAAAATGATGATATCCCCCATATCACCTTTTAAACTGTCACAATAAGATAGTACATAAAACACCCTTGGCATTGGCGGTTTTAGCACTTGTGTTATTATCAGTGTGAGCCCAGAGATCCATGTGTGTAGTAGTTCTTTGTAATAGTGCTCAGGTGTGGAATTGAACTATACACCATGAAGCTATCACACAGAGTACATCGCCTCTATAGAGTGTAGGTTCCGCCATCCTCTCAGCATCCACGTCTCTGGGTGGCTCTGTTGTTCCCTATACATAAAAACATGAAGTAGATCTCAAAGTAGGGTGGGGTTTTTTTAAATTCTTTATTAGTTAAGGTATTACAAATGTGTCCTTATCCCCCCCATTAATGTTCTCATCCCTCTGTTGTCCATGTCCATTGGTTTGGCTTATATGCATGCATACAAGTCCTTTGGTTGATCTCTTCCCCTTATCCCCTCCCTCCCTTACTTTCCCTCTGGGGTGTGATAGTCTGATCACTGTTTCTCTGTATTTGGATCTGTCCCTGTTTATCAATCTATGTTGTTATCTATAATCCACAAATGAGTGAGATCATGTGGTATTTATTTTTCTCTGACTGGCTTATTTCACTTAGCATAATGCTCTCCAGTTCCATCCATGCTATTGCAAAAGGCAAGAGTTCCTTCTTTTTTACCGCAGCATAGTATTCCACTGTGTAGATGTACCACAGTTTTCTAATCCACTCATCTGCTGATGGACACTTAGGCTGTTTCCAAATCTTAGCTATGGTGAATTGTGCTGCTATGAACATAGGGGTGCATATATCCTTTCTGATTGGTGTTTCTGGTGTCTTGAGATATATTCCTAGAAGTGGGATCACTGGGTAAAATGGGAGTTCCATTTTTAGTTTTTTGAGGAAACTCCATATTGGTCTCCACAGTGGCTGCACCAGTCTGCATTCCCACCAGCAGTACAGAAGGGTTCCTTTTTCTCCACATGCTCTCCAACATTTGTTGTTTGTTGACTTATTGATGATAGCCATTCTGACAGGTGTGAGATGATACCGCATTGTCGTTTTGATTTGCATCTCTCATATAATTAGTGACTTTGATCATCTTTTCATATGGCTTTCGGCCTTCTGTATGTCCTCTTTCAAAAAGTGTCTATCTAGGTCCGTTGCCCATTTTTTGATTGGATTGTTTATCTTCCTATTGTTAAGTTTCATGAGTTCCCTGTAAATGTTGGAGATTAAACCCTTATCGGTGACATCATTGGCAAATATGTTCTCCCATGTAGTGGGTCTTCTTGTTGTTTTGTTGATGGTTTCCTTTGCTGTACAAAAGCTTTTTATTTTGATGTAGTCCCATTTGTTTATTTTCTCTTTAGTTTCCATTGCCCTAAGAGCATTATCAGAGAAGAAATTCCTTTGGCATATGTTTGCGATTTTGCTGCCTGTGGATTCCTCTAGTATTTTTATGGTTTCCCGTCTTACGTTTAAGTCTTTTATCCATTTTGAGTTTATTTTTGTGTATAGTGTGAGTTGGTGGTCTAGTTTCATCTTTTTGCATGTATCTGTCCAATTTTCCCAACACCATTTATTGAAGAGACTGTCTTGACTCCATTATATGCTCTTGCCTCCTTTGTCAAATATTAATTGAGCATAGTGGTTTGGGTCAATTTCTGGGTTCTCTATTCTATTTCATTGATCTATATCTCTGTTATTGTGCCAGTACCAAGCTGTTTTAAGAACAATGGCTTTGTAATACAATTTTATATCTGGTATTGAGATCCCACCAACTTTGTTCTTCTTTCTCAGGATTGCTGCAGCTATTCGAGGTCTTTTTTTATTCCAGATGAATTTTTGGAACGTTCATTCTAGATTTGTGAAATATGCCATTGGTAATTTAATGGGGATTGCATTGAATCTATAGATTGCTTTGGGTAGTATGGACATTTTGATGATGTTGATTCTACCAATCCATGAACACGGTATGTTCTTCCATCTGTTTATGTCTTCCTCTATCTCTTTTTTCAGTGTCCTGTAGTTTTTTTCATATAAGTCTTTTATCTCCTTAGTTAAATTTATTCCTAGGTGTCAATTTTTTTCGGTGCAATGGTAAATTGGATTGCTTTTTCAGTCTCACTTTCTGTAAGTTCACTATTGGTGTAAAGAAATGCCATGGATTTCTTGGCATTAATTTTGTATCCTGCTACATTGCTGAATTCATTTATTAAGACTAATAATTTTTTGATGGAGTCTTTAGGGTTCTCTCTGTACAGTATCATGTCATCTGCAAATAAGGACAGTTTTACTTCTTCTTTTCCAATTTGGATGCCTTTTATTTCTTCTTCTTGTCTGATCTCAATGGCTAGTACTTCCAGTACTATATTGAACAGGAGTGGTGAGAGGGGGCATCCCTGTCTTGTTCCTATTTTCAGGCGGAATGGTTTTAGTTTTTGCCCATTGATTATGATGTTGGCTGTGGGTTTGTCATATATGGCTTTTATTATGTTGAGGTATGATCCTTCCATTCCTACCTTGCTGAGAGTTTTTATCAAGAAAGGGTGTTGAATTTTGTCAAAAGCTTTTTCTGCATCAATTGATATGATTATGTGGTTTTTTTCTCTCAA